CCGCCGCGGGTAGCCGCTTACGTCAGGGAGGCGAAACCCAGAAGAAGAAGAAAAAAAAAAGGCACGAGGGCGGAAGGGGAAAAACTTTTATTTTTTCTCTGATTCTCTCCTGGGGCTGAAGTGGAAGGCAGGCGACTGCGCCAGCGCGGGCTTCCCGGACAGAGGCGGGCGCGACCCCAGCCCGCTGCGCCGGAGGAGCTGGGCCCCGGAGGCCCGGAGGGGCGCCCGGCATGTGGGACCCCGAGGACTTTGAGCGCCACTGGCAGGCCGAGTTCCCCGGGGAGGAGGCCCCCATCATGCGGCTAGACTCGGTGCTGGACATGGAGCGGGAGCTGGAGCGCTGCAAACTCAACCTGAAGCGGCTGCAACAGGTGCTGGCCGAGGAGAAGTTCAAAGTCTCCTACCTGCAGGCGGCCCTGGCCGGGGAGAAGCGGGACCTCGCCTGCGGGTCCCTGGAGGGCAGGGACGGCGGCAGCGGGAGAGATTCGGCAGAGGAGCCGGCGCCTGCCGGGCCGGAGCGGGCGCCGCCAGCGCGCGAGGAGGAGGGCGCAGCGGGCGGCGGCGGCGGAGACCCCCTGGGCCCCGCGCCCCCTAACGCCGAGGTGGCCGCGAAAGCCGAGACTCTCCCCTACGTGTGCCTAGACTTTCCCACCCGGCCCCGGGCGGCGGGGACAGGGGGCGCGGTGCGCAGCTTGACCGCCGCCATCCACCAGCAGCTGCTGCAGCCTCGCCTCCTCTTCAGTCCCCGGGAGGACTGCGCGCCCCCCGGCCAAGGTGGCGCAGTTCCCAGCGCCCCCGGCGAGGAGCTGTCCTCCAGGACCCGCGCGGGGCGGGGCTCGGAGGAGGGCGAGCCGGACGCCTCCGGCGCGGACGATGGGGGCGACAGCAGTGACCACGACTTCGAGATGGTGGAATTGAACGAGAAATTCTTCCTCAGCCCCTTGCTCGTGGCCCCCTACCGGCTCGGGACCCGCGACGAGGCCGAAAAGCCGGTGCGGGCGTGCAGCCCCCATCGCTGGATGCACCTGATCCCCGGGGGCTGGCGGCAGCAGCGCCGGAGCCACGACGTGGAGCAGCTGGAGGCGGAGGCCAAGGACGGGCGGGGCTCGCCCCTGGCGGCGGAGGAGCATCCCCGGCGCGGGGCTCGCGAGCACCTCCCCCCGTGGCGGCGCAAGAGGTTCCTGCGGGTGCCGGGGCGGGACTCGCCCAGCCACAGCTCGCCCGAGAGGGGCAGTGACTGCAGCCGCAACAGCTCGGACCACGAGGACGGCTCCTCTGCAGGTAGGCGCGCCCTCTCTAGATTCCTGCCTCGTGCATCCCGGTGGCTGATGGCCGCTTCCTACGCCCCTCCCTGGCATACCTTGTTGGTCCTGTTTAACCTCAGGCTCCTGGGAAGAAGAGAGATAAGATTTACTTGTTTACCTTGAAGCCACTTGTGGAACTTAAAAAAAGATCATGCAAAGTGATTTCAGTTTGGGCGAGTTTATGAAAATAAGCGCTATAGCGATGGCAGGGGGTGATGGAATGGTGCGCTGGGCCAGACCACGGGAGGAAGCTTTCTTCTCTTCAGGCCTCAGCCTTCCTGCTCTGACTATTGCAACATCACTGCTCTACTCCCCTCCAACTCATCCTCCACAGGTCGGTCAGATTCCTTTGCCACACTGATGGTATCCTTCTCTGCATAAACTCCAGTGGCTCCCCATTTCCCCCCAGATTTCCTGAGGTGAAAGTCTAAATCTTGCACTCAATTTTCTGAACCTCCCTCTCATCTTTTCCAGCCTGTATCTTCTGTTGGGGTCAAACTGAAGCAGCCTCCTCACCACCCCCTCCCTTTGCTGACTGTCCCCTTCCTAGAAGGCTGCACATGATCCTTAGCTTCCTAGGAGCCTAGGAGCCTGCCTGGGAAGGGGAATAGAGTTTTCAAGCTGGCCTGGTGCCCAGAGATCATGTCTCCTGCAGTGCCTTCATCTGATAAGGGAAGAAACTGAAGCTCAGAAAGATTAAGTGCTTGTTGGAGTGAGCTGAGCCCTCAACTGGGGCCTCATGTTTTTCATTGTTTCCCCTCGCATCTGTGCTCTCTCCTGAGGACAGGACCTGGTCTTAGCCATCTTTGAATCCCCTTGTGGTGGTCAGCACAGTGTCTTGCACGTAGTAAGTGCCCAATACATATTTCTTGAATAAATGGATGATTGCATTGAACTGAATGTCTCCCAGCCACCTAGCTCCTCATAGAGTCAGGGAGTGGGAATGAGGCCAAGGAGGAAAGGACAGATAGGAGTGTGGGGTGGCCTCTGACTGCCTCCTTGCTCCCAGGGACTGTCAGGGTCTCCTCAGCCATAAGGAAAGCATAAATTGGTGTCCGGTTGAGTCAAGCTGTGACCAGGAACTTAAGATGCCTTCCTGCTCAGTGAAGGAGATAAAAAAAAGAAATCACTGATGCTGGGATTGCTCCAAAATGTCCATTATTAGATCTTATCTGGGTGAGTTTGCATTTGAATGAAAAACTGTCCACTTTGCTAAAAGCACATTTGGAAGGTCCATCCAGTCATCTGTTGTGATCAATTACGCTTATTCATTAGCAGAGATTGGCTGCTTTTCCCATAGGTAATGCTTTTGCCGCCCAGGCTAGTAACATTTTTATGTGCCCCTTTAACTTAAAGGAAAGAGTCTGAAGATTTCACCCTAGTGCCAAGTTCCAAATGCCCTCAATGGAGGCTACCCAAGTGGCCCAGAGCTGCTTCAGAGCTGGTTCCAATCCCATCTCCCCCCAGACCCACATCAATCACCCTGCCAGGTGTGCCCCAATGACTTGGATTTTCCCAGGGAGTGATGTTTATTTCCGTGTGCTGTCTCCTCTCTCCGTAAGGGCACTCCGGCACATACAGCACGTTTATGCAGATTGGGAACTAGTGTTCCTTCTGGCCTAACCAATTACAAAAGTTGCCCTCTCTGGGTGAACCAATGATAACAAGATTCTCCTTCCTCTGGATTGAAGACTCCAGCCAGGGCAGGTGTCTGGCACTTATGGCTTTGGCTAGTGGTGCCTGGACTGTATTTCAGGTTCCATTCCAGGACTCCTGTGCAGGGCAAGCTTGTGTAGGGAACCTCTGGACAGCTGCATTTGGGGGCCCTGCCTCCTGTCTCCAATACCTCCCCCGTGAGGAAGTGAATGGGGGTGGACATGCACGTGCATGCGTGCATGCACACAAGTCCACTCAGGCCTATACATGTCTACACCTGTGCACATAGTCACATGCATGTGTGCATGTGCTCACAATGTAGGAGAAGGAGCCTTCAAACACACAGGGAGGCACTAGAGTGGAGGGACTGAGGGCAGAGTTTTCACACTGTGGGTGACAGCCCACTGAAATCAGTGTAGCGGGGACTGACAGCATCGTGAGGCCTTCCTTGGCCACCTTGGCCTTCCTGTTTTATTTGTCTCCACAGCACTCACCAAATTACCACCTCAGATGCTAAGATTTTGTATGTGGGTCTTATTCACTCCAGTAAAATGCAGACTTCCAGAGGGCAAGGATTTTTGTCTCTTTCATTCACTGATGTAGCCCCAAAGCTTAGAAAAATGTCTAACACGTGTTAGGTGTTCTACACATATTTGTTGAATGATATACTTTTTTTTTTTGGTTAGGAAGATTTGCCCTGAGCTAACATTTGTTGCCAATCTTCCTCTTTTTTGGCCTTAGGAAGATTAGCCCTGAGCTAACATCTGTGCCAGTCTTCCTCTATTTCGTATATGGGACGCCGCCACAGCATGGCTGATGAGTAGTGTAGCTCCGTGCCCTGGATCTGAACTTGCGAACCCCAGGCCACTGAAGCGGAGTGAGCTGATCTTAACCACTATGCCACGGGGCCAGCCCCGAATGATACACTTTTTAAAAATGGGATGGAATAGAATAGAAAACATCGGAGTGCACTGCATGTGGTAATGATGAGTTATTCTTTTTTAAAACCTCATTTCAATTATGTAAAAAATTATATGTGTGAGTGTATGCTGGGTCCTGATGTAGAATGTATTTCTTGCTGTGGGTTGGATGAAAAGGTTTAAGACGCTGATAAAGACCATGGGCTCTGAAGCTAGGCTGCTTGCGTGACCTTAGGAGAAGTTATTTGAATTTTCCGTGTCTCAGTTTCCTCATCTTTAAGATGAGGCTAATAAACTGCTCACTTCATATCACTGATATGAGGAATAAATGGGATATTATTTCTAAAGGGACTTTGAACAGGCCCTGGCACGTAGCAAGCACCCCTGGTGTGAACTAACCGTGACTACAGGTCATCTTCTTTGAGTTGACACTTCAAAGCTTCCCCTCCCAGATCATTCTGGGATCACAGATGGTTTGGTTTTCTATGATGCATGCGTTTTTTTCTAGCAAGGCTCTGCCTCTTTCTCAAACCTTCCAGGCAGCAGGGCAGGACGCAGGGTGGAGTGGTAATCTTGGCTCTTGATGCTCTCTTGCTGGATTGGCCCTCATGTTGTTTCTCCCTCTCCGCTAGCAATCACGTGCATTCTCTATTCACGGATCCTTAGCCAAAGGTCAGGTTTTATTGGGCAATCCAGGCTTTGCCTTTGTTTGTCTCAGGGTTTCAAGGAGAGAGAGCACAGAGGCCTCTTAAAAAGGCCCGGAGGCAGAGGTGCCCCCCTCCTTGGAAAAGGGCTGGTTTCTCTTAGATGAGGGACAGATCCTCATACCAAGACACATCTGGGCTTTTTTCTACACATGGTAGCCAAATTAGAGTTTAAATAAGTTGGAATGCCAGTTCTTTTAGTATCTTCCTTTTAGCACCTTGTAGCCTTGGTACCAAGAACGGCTAGGCGGTGTAGGTGTGGTTAGAAGTGGAGGATGAGGGTGGTGGTGTGAATGGGGTGGGGGTGGGGCTGGCAGAGCTAGAAGCAGCCGTGTTGGGTCCTGTGTGCTGTGAAGACATCCTGTGTGTGTGCCCTGGCTCTGCCTCTCACCAGGTGTAGACGGGGTGTGGGCAAGCCGCTGACCCCTCGGCGCCTCGGTCTCTGTTAGATGGAAATAACGAGGATAGCTAACACTTGACCGAGGGCTCACTGTGTGTCAGCTCCTGTTCTTAGCATTTTACACACAGTGACTCACTGATGCCGCACAACAGCTGCGTGAGACAGGCACGATGATTATTTCCATTTTATAGATGAAGATCTTGAGGCCCAGGGGGCTTAAACAACCCTGCCTAAGGTCACCCAGCTTATGAGGATTTGAACACAGGCAGTCTGACTCCTGATTCCATACTTTCAAACACCAAGCTGTGCTGCCTCAAATAATAGCACCTACCTCTCAGGGTAGTTATTAAGATTAAATACAATAAAATATTTTAAAAGTTTAGCAAAGCACCTGCCACCCAGTGACCATTAAGTGCATCCATGTGTATGTGTACATGTGTGTGTGCATTATTACTATTTTCTTTATCACTAAAGTCTCCAGCAGACCTCAGTCCACGGCTGGGTCAACCATTAGGGCTGCTTCCGCCACTGGAGCTCCTGGGTGGACATGGCCTCACAGGCGAGCAGACCACCTGCTGGATTTTCGATCTCCCCTCCTCAGCTGGGCACTCTTGGGCAGACACTCTGCCCACGTGCAGAGACCATGTATTTTCCCTTTCACGTTGATATGCTTTGTGCCACCCCTGCCATAGAGGTGGGTAACGTGTCCTTTTCGGGGTTCATGCATCCCTTCTGCAGCCTGCGGCATCCTCTATACCACACGTGCACTACTCGTGGACCGAGGTGCATTCTTCCAGCAAAGCCCAAAGGTGGCTTTTGCAGTCAGGCATCCTTTTGACTGGCAGCAACTATTCATCTGATATTCTGGTTTTAGTTCAGATGACAAAGTAAATATCATTAATATTTTAAATCCGTAGCATTTTCTCCTTGCATTAAACTTTGCTCAATGGAGGATGAGCTGTCTCTATTTTTGCTAGCCCTTGAAATTCATTCATTCATTCATCCGTTCCACTCAACAAGGATTTATCGAGATCTTACTTAATGCCAGGTCTGTGTTAAGGGCCAAGACTGCAAAAGTCAGTGACCCACCTTTAAGGTTCTCACTGGCTATTTGGCTCCTAGGGTAGAAACCATAGATTTTTAGATAAAGAAACAACTTTCCAGCAGGTAACTTATTAAATCCTGAAATGAATGGTTAAGGACTATTATTTAGAATCTCAGCAACATTCGAGAGAGCCTCGAAGAGGAGTTGGGCTAGTCCTGCCCTTCTCCAGACAGGTGAGGACCCCGGAACCCT